CCTAGGGGGCTTTAGCTCTAGGGAAGCGTTAACCCTCACACAATGAATAAAACTGGTTCGTATATAACGTCCAAAAAAGAACGAAGTCAATTGTGGGGTTCGTTATTCTGTTGTGTGCGGATTTTTGTTGAGGACGCGGTATTATTCAAATTGGTTTTTAGTGAAAATTACTACAAATTCACCACATGGCTACTATAGAAATTAAGATAGAATATTACTAAAGAATTATCGTTTTAATTATACATCTTTTGTGGAATACTCGATTTATATTGGTGCATGTTTTTGTGTTCAAATCGCGATTCTTCTCCTCATGGAGTAATTTTTAATATATTCAGTAATCATAATACAAAATAGTAGTCGGACATGAAGGATACGATTTCAAATTATATCGAGACATGTAGATGTAAAGTTTTAGTTCGATTTGGTTTTTATTGAAAATAATGTTTTAGTTTGATTTGGTTTTTATTGAAAATAAAGTTTAAGTTCGATTTGATTTTTATTGAAAATTAAGGATTGATTGTGAAGTTCTCAATTTATTTTGGTGCATGTTTTTGTTCTCACATCGCGATTCTTTTTCTCATGGAATAATGTTTTTACTATAGTCAATAATCATAATATGGAATATCATTTTGACATGAAATATATGATTACAAATTTTATATCGAGACATGTAGATATAATTATATAAAGTCATGTAATTCTCTTAAAAATCCTTAAAGTTAATGAATCATGTTATTGATCGGTTTTGAAGGTTATCTACATTTCATAAAAAGATATTTTGAGAAACTCAAGATATGGATCGGTTTGCACTTTACAATTTACCAAAATTATCACATTGCATAAATAACAAATCACTCAACGCATGTAAACCAAAATACACATGAATAAACAAAGGATTATACTATTTAGAAAAATAATATAACCTAATTATATTAAAATAGTTAAAGTAATATTTTAATAAATTACGACTGAAGTTTTTTTTATAGATTTGATTAGAAGTCATGTGTACAGGTTTCTTTAACAATCCAT